TCACATCAAGTCCTTTGGTACCGTGTTCAGAGAGTCACAGTTATCAGTGCCTTTTGATGCATATATAATCATAATTGAAAATAATTAGTGTGATTTCTCATTTAATATCTTGCCCACTAGACAATCCATTCCAGGGGAATAGACACTAAACTCCATGAGAACAACACATTCTTAGTAAAAATGAATTAGTAAAAGCCCATTACACCATGTCGTGACTTTTCACTACTGTGTGAGGAATTTTGTGTGGAAGGGGATGGAAATGGTAGGCACAGTGGGCGTGGCAGTGGTGAAGTTGAGTGCTGTGATGGGTCATAGTGGGAGCTTTGACACCAGGTAGTCCCTGGTTCAAATCCTGGAGCTTCCATTTACTCACTGAGCAATCTGGGATAAGTCATAACACAATTCTGGGACTTATCGGTAAAATGGAGCTTATTATGGTGTTTATTTCATAGGAGGTTGTTGTGAGGATTATAACAGAGAAGACAGAGAATTGTGGGTCTGACAGGTCATCGGTACTCATGCTAATGTTATCAGTACTGTGACCATCATGATAGATATATTTTTTTCTGTGGTCAAGATTTTGATATCTTCTGCTCTGTCTCTGGGTAATCATTTGGTGATTAGGATTCACTGGTGGTTAATTTAATTTTTCATTTCTTTGTGAAAAATATATATAGAGAAGTATGCTTTGACATAGTCTCACCATATTGTGATCCTCATACCCCAGGCTCCCAACCAGTAAGGATCATGAGTGTGCCCAAGAGCATGCCAGCACATTCAGATAAACCTAGGACTCGAACATGGAGTCTTCCCATGTGCTCCTGCTGCTTGTGCCAACATAGGTAGGCCTCTGGTGGGCATTTCCATTTCTTGTTGAGGTATTCATTTGCTTAAAATAAATTCCTCAAGCTGGATGGCCCACACACCACGGCTCTGAGTGGGGGGAAGAAAGCAAGAAGGAATGTGTGTGGAGGTAAAGATGGCAATGGGGGAGGCAGGGAGATGGAGGGAGCCTGGCTCTGCTGAATATATATAATCAATAAGTGAAATCGACATGCTCATAAAAGTTACAGGCCCTGCTAGGTGAGTTGTTTTCGACGGTGCCAAGAAATGCATCTATTTCATTCTGCCTCTTCTTGGGGCCAAGATATATTTCAGCCTCACCCTCAAACCAGCCAAATAGTCTGGGAGGAGAGGAAAAGTCATGTCATTCCCTCACTGTCCTCACCTTATATCCAGGGGCATTTTGGGCTTAAAATAATTAGTATAAGCCTGGAAGTCTCTTAGCTTTTAAGAAGGGGAGGAAACAAGTGCATTGAGCTGTATGTTGATTTGCTCAGTGTTTATCGTGTACCTACTATGTACCAGATTTTTAAATTAAAAAAATTTTTAAGCACTCTGGATTCAGCAGAAAAATGTGACAGATCTGGACCCAGAGCTGAACACCACCCTTGTACTGCTGAATGTCTGCTGGGAAGTAGACATTAAAAAATCATGCAGGTGTGATGAGCACCATTGGACTGTGGAGTTAGGGGAGCTCTTTCTGAGCACTTGGAGTGAGGCCTTGGCCTGAGGTATAAGTGGGGGCTGGCCAGGAGAAGAATGCAGAGGGAGGAGATCACATGAGTATTAGGGAGCCCCAGGGGGAGTTCCTGAGGTGGAGGGGCAGGGAGGGCTGGAAGCCCCTGGGTTTAGCAGGGTGCAAGGGAGTCATGGTGCAGTCCTGTTTTTTGAGAGCACAGCAGGTCGCGAGAAGTGATCCCACTTACATTGAGAGAGCACTGCTCTGGCTTGTGTGTAGAGAATGATTTATAGACGGTCAGGTAAAGATGGAGACCTGGAGAGGAGCTGCATGAGGGCCAGAGGTGCATCAGTGAGGGTGGGACTGCACATTGTGACAGGTAGACTGGGAGAGGGCAGGTGGGCAGAGCATTGAAAGTCAGGGCTAGGATGGAGGTCAGAGCGACACTGAGTGGTGCCGATGATGTTTTCCTGAGGTGGGGGCAAAGGAAAGGGGCAGGTTTGACCAGGGAGTGCAGCTCGAACATTCACTTTTGGAGACCTTGTGCTCAAAGTGTCAGTAAAATAGGGAGATGCCATGTAGCAGGGAGTTAGATGAGTCTGCAGCTAAAAATAAATGTGGGCTGATGAGAAGGTAAGTATTACAGGCACCTCTTCCATTGGATGGGGCCCCGTAGGTGATTCACTTTCTAGTTAGCAGAGCATTGTGAAGGGGGGGGCCCACACCTAGAACTTCCCACTACTAGATCTGGTATTTTCTCTCTGTGACCTTCAGCAATTCATAACCTTCCTGGGCTCCCCCATCCTCACATAAAATGGTGATAGTTATGTCTGCTTCAGACTACCTAGGAGCACATGTTGGAAGAGCCATTAAACTGAAAATAAAACATGTGAAGCTCTTTGAAATAAGAACTATGTTAAAACAAGGAGTTATTAGAGTTGTGTGTAAGCCAATGAAAAGCAGAAATACAGCCCCAAGGCTCAGTATTGATTTTGGTCCTGGGTGCTTCCCGCAGCCGAATAAATCTGACATTTCTCCCTCAAGTGCTGGCTGAGCTGATGGCAGGCCTCCAGCTTCCAGCCTCCTTGCCCCTGCTCCAAGGTTACGTCCTTCCTCAGCTCAGGCCAGATCAGCGCCCCCACACCTGCCTGAGCGGCTCTGGCTGCCCTTCCCACTTGGGTGGGTGGCTACGGGGAAGGTTCCAGTTGTGAAGTTGGAGCTCGGCCAAGAGCAGATGCCCTCTGATTAAACTGGGGACAGGTCCTCCCAGAAAAGCAGAGCTTGGGTCTGCAGACAAGAAATTTAAGGAGGACCAAAAGGAATGGCTCTAGATAGGGGTTTCAACCCCGAGGATGTATTAAAGGCTATGGAATTTGGTTCATGCCTCCCTTCAACCACTAAATAACCAATCAAGACTCCCTGAGTGCCTACTGAATGTCAGGCTCTGAGGTGAGTGTTGGGTTTAGGAGTGAAAAATACAATCTGTTTGCCCTCTTGGAGTTGATATTCAGAAAGGAGGGAAACAATAAGCCAAGGAACAAAATCCTCCTAAGGGGACAACTAAACAACCAAGCACAACAGAGAATACTGATGTGGCAGGATGGGGAGCACCTATTTTAGACGGGGTGGTCAGGGAAGCCTTCAGAGAAGTGGTGGCATTTGAGCTGGGATCTGACAGTTCAGAAGGAGTTGACCTGTGAAGAGCAGGGAGAGGAGCATTCTAGGCAGAGGGCTGGCCAGTGCAGAGGTCTGAGTCCTGGACCCTGCAGCTTGAAGAACAGTCTGGGTACATGTGTGTGTTTATGTATGTGCCCAAAATCCTGAGAGGAGAATGAAGGAGAAGGGATTGCAACATGATCATTTCCCATGGGGTTGCTTCCTCATTTTCCCTCTCTCTCTGTGTCTCTCTCGAGCAAGTGCATGTGCTCCTTGGCAAAATTAAAGAGAAAAAAGAGGAAGAGAAAGACTTCTCTGACCTCTGAGTGGATAATGGGTTACAGGGGAAAAGAAAGAATCAAGAAAACTGGTCAAGAAGCCACTGTGGTCCACTGGGTGAGACGTGAGAGTCAAGTGGACTGGGTGGTGCCCGTGGAGGCAGAGTGACGTGAATGCCTCAGAGGGTATTTGAAAGAATGAACAGGTCATTGATGGATGGGAAGTGAGAGGTGAGAAAAGGCAGGCACTGAGCATGACCTGTAGACTTCTGGTTTAAGCCACTGTTTACTGTATTCAGGGTAACAGAGGACGTAGGTTTATGGAAGGAAATCCATGCCCATGCCTTGGCCTGGTAAAGTTTAGCACACCAGGCTGGTTCCATTATGCAGAGGCAATGGTCTGCTAAAAAGAGGCCACACCTCACATGGTAACCATGGTTCAAATTCCTGGCCCAGTCAACTGAAATATATTGGGCACGTGCATGAGTACCAGGCTACGACAGGCTGGAGGACCTCAAGAACGTCATCATGTGAGACCCTGTGGAGAGAGTGTACGCATTTCTCTCTCCCTCCATTGCTCTCCCCTCTGTCTCTCTCATTCTCAAGTTCTACCATGAATAAAGGGAAGAAAAGTTTGCCATCCCTGTGTGGGAGGAGATGTCAAGTCTGAAGCTGGATGTACACATGGAGGTCATCAGGCACTTCTGGGTTGGAAATGGACCTGAGGAATCGCAGCACAGGACTGGCTGTGAGCACCTGGGGGAAGGCCTTAGAGGGAGAGGCAGAGGGCTTGGGCCTGGGCCCTGAGGTGCTCTGGTATACAAGTAGAAATGACGAGTGGGGAGTAGGAAAGCCACGGGGATGGCACGATGGAAGTCCAAAGAAACTTCTCAGAGGCCAAGTAGGAGAGGTCAAGGGCTGCACACTTGATCTGGTGGAAGAGGTTGCTGGTAGGGACAAGTCATCACAGTTAGTGAGGATGAAAGGTAGATTAAAGAGGTTGAAGAATCAATTGGAGGTGAGGAGTAAAAAAAATATCTGGGACAATTCTTGGGAAAAATGTTGCCATCAGACTGGGCAGAGAAATGGGGAAGTGCTGCTTACTTCGTGGCTATGAATGTACCGAACGTTCCTTCCACCGTTTCTACACCTCTCCCCACTCTGATACACCCAGGACATGATATGAAGACCCTGAAAACGTTCTCATGATAAAATAAGCCATGGATGCTGTACGGTTCCCAACATAATGCAGTGATTCTGCTCTATTTTCCCTCTCAAGGAAGTTTCTGGGAACGCAACTGAGAGTCACGTCAGGACAACCATGACAGTGCTGATATTTTAGAGAAAACACAAACCAATGTCCACACATTAAACTATGACATACAACCAAATTATTAGCAGCACCATCTAAAACGTATTGCATCATACGTGTCAGGGTGTGCCGGCTGGGAAGTGTGGTTCCAGACCGTGGCTGGGTGCCATCCAGGTGTTCACCAAGTGTTTTCTGAGCACTCGCTGTGTGTCAGGAGCCTGTGCTCTGGGCACTGGGAAGCTGCAGTGAACGAGACCCACATGCCTCTACCCTTCAGGACTCCAGCCAGGTGAGAGAACAGACTGCATGGTGGCTACAGCCAGAGAGACGTGCGTCCTCGGGCAGGGTCACAGGGGTCTTGGACTAGTCCATGGGCTCAGCAAGACTGAAAAAATGAGGATTAAGCAGAGGGTGAATTAACCAGGCTCCTGTTGGGGGTGGTGTGGACTGGGGCCTAGGCGGAAGTGGACGCTCAGGGCAGGAGGGGGCTCATCTCCACTGGGGTCCTATCCAAGCCAACCTGTCCAGGAAGTCACGGAAGGAGGAGGGAGTGGGGCAACAGGCAGTCAGGAGTTTGGAAAGCCTCATGAAACATTTTAAGTTTGTATTGAGGGGAGAGGGATGACAGCATGGTCAGGTTTGTTCTAAAAGGCATTCAGGCATTTGGGAAAAGGGGTGCAGTTGTACAGAGAAAAGTGGCAGAAGTCACCTGTACTCAGGAAGAGGAAGGTGTTAAGTCTCTTCCAGTGCTATTTAACTGAACAGACTTGAGTGTTTGGAGGGAGAAGGGAGGCAAGACCAACTTTCTGCTTGCTTCTCAGTATCCGTCCCTGAAACCTGGTCTAATTTTCTGCTTTTCTCTCCCTCTCTCCCTTCTAGAGAACCCAACAGGTTAGTGCTGGAGCCTGTTGTAAAGGGGTGGGAAAAGAAGCAGGTCCCAAAGGATGTGGCAGGCTCAATGTGGGGATGCAAGCAGGTAAGAGGACAGAATGGAGGCTACAGAGGCTGCCTTGAGAGATTGGCACAGAAGGCATGCCTGTGACATGAGTGTGCAGAAGTGCAGGTGTGCTTGGCTCACAGGGGATGGTGCCACAGAGGCAGTAGCTCTGGGGCTTTGCTGTGCAGAAGTACCTGGGGAGCTAGTTAAAAGCAGGTGGCACAGTTGTTAAGGCGCTGGACACTCCTACATGACTGACGGCGGTTCGAGTCCCAGATCTGGTGGCTTGCTTTCCCTCCTCTCTCTCTCTCTTTCTCTCTCTGGTCAAATTAAAATTTCTGAATGAATAAATAAAATTGAATAAATAAGTCTTAAAAAAAGTGCGGACTCTTGGAGGCCCTCTTAAGGAATGTTGATCCAGCAGGTGGGGGTGGGAGGAGCCAGCAATGACCACTCCCAAGAAGCCCTGGCCTTCTCTCACCAGTATGGTTCTGATCTAGGTGTACCCCAAACTTTCCTCCTGAGAATGCCTCAACCCTGGCCGGCCTTTTGACCGTACATCTTGAGTCCCCTTAGCTGTCTTGAAAAAGCCTGGACCTGAAGGCTTATTTCAGCCCTGCATTAAGATGTGAATAACCACCTCCTAGGGCTACTTGACCCGGTCGGCGGGCTTTCGGGCGAGCAGCACAACAGCACGAGGCCGCCAGGAGGCGCCAGAGGCTTCGGCTCCGGCGCTCGGGCTCTTCCGCCCGCGGACGCCGCGCCCGAGCAGCGAGCGAGCGGAGCCAGAGCGCTGCGGGCTCACAAAGCGGCCGGACGCGCGGCGGCGGCGGGTGGCTGGAGCGCCGGGGGGCCAGGCGGC